ATCTGAAGTGGTGAGCGCCAGATGTTTTTTGAGCCCAAAGATGGGCAACCAGCTCCACAGCTTCAGATCCATTCCTTAAGAACGAACAAGAAGAGGTTGCAACATTTCTCCCGTCACTCGATTCTGCGTTCATTTCAGCGGGCCAGAAGTCACAGGGGCATCAAAAGTGCACAAATATTGTGGGCCAGTTTCCTATTTCCTTTGAACCTCGCTCTCTTCCCGAGAAAAGCGAGCCTCATGCCAAAGAAAGCAGCTAGAACTTATCTTGTCTCCGCTAGACAGAATGGTGACCACAGGAAGCCCTTCCAGCGCAACCGGTTGTAGACTGGATAAGCACTTTCCATAAGTCAGTCATTAGTTCACTGCTGGGGTTTCCTACCAATGACTGAGCTGGCATTCCTCAACTCTTCTATGATCCTCGGCTGATACCAGCAGTCAGGTACTACTTGAAGCCCACCAGCAACTCCAGCCTCCTACTGGACCATACCTGTGCCTTAGAATCAGGGCTGGTTGAAGGATTTTTGACAACCTTGGTGGCAAATGACTTCACTCCACTTCTGGTGCCATAGGGGAGCTACCACCCTCCTAACCCCTCTGAACCACAGTAAGGCACGGTGAGGTGGGAAGCTGCTACCTACCCTCCTTGCTGCACAGCACCACACCATGGTGACCTCCTTGCCCCTGTGCCAAGGGGGAGGGAAGGAGGAAAAAGGTCCACCCCCATGGAGGAGGGAAGGAACGGGGACCAGGGGCATCTCCTGGGGCAATTTCTTGTTGCAGCAGACTCGAATGCCTGCAGGCAAAGGGTTGGTGCCCCTCCAGGTGCTTCGGTGAGTCCACCTTCCAAAGTGGTTGTTTCCTCCTAAACTTGTTATTCCTGTTTGGTCCTTGCATCTGTTAAATATCTTAATTATGCTGTATGATAATTTGCTGCCCACCCTCTTCCTGTATGTATGGACTGGCAACTTCCAGTTCATTGTATCTGAGGAAATGTGCATGCACATAAAAGCTTATACCTTGAATAAAAAAATGTTGGTCTTAAAGGTACCACTGGACCCCAGCTTTGTTTTCTCCAGAAGCACCGATCTCTGTTGCCTGGAGGCCACTTGTAATCCCAGATCTCCAGCCACCACCTGGAGGTTGGCAACCCTAATCCTAGCCCAGCACAGGCCAAAGGAGAGCTTGCTCCCAGGAACTGAGGCATCTTTCCTCAGATGGTTGGTGCACAATGACCCTCCCCACTTTCACCGAGAATGTCTCCATTAACCATCTGCAGACTGTCTTTGCCTAAGCCGCCCAAGGGCACTCAAGAAGAAGAAACTGGATTTATACCCTGCCCTTCACTACCCAAAGGAGTCTCAGGGCAGCTTACAGTCTCCTTCCCCTTGCCCGCCCCACAACAGACATCCTGTGAGGCAGGTGGGACGGAGAGAGCTCTTTTGAGGTCTGCTCTTGAGAGAACAGCTCTGAAAGAACCTGTGGCTGACCCAAGGTCCCATCAGCAGCTTCATGTGAAGGCACGGGGTTCTCCCAGATTAGAGTCCATGCTCCTAACCACTATACCAAACTGGCTCAACAAATGGCCCTGATCCTCAGTGGTTGATTTGGTCCCTTTGCCCAAACCAGGAAGTAGGTATGCAGGTCCCACAGACCAAGAAACACAAAGCACAAGTGAACCAGGGGTTGCTAAGCGGATCTGCCACCACTCCAATTTTAACAAGCACACTACTATGCACTGGCTGAAACGGTAGCATTTCGCACACACAAGCGCTGGGTTTGTTTGTTTTTTAAAGCTTGTGTACCTGTCAGAAAGGGCTTGTGAGGATCCCAAAATGCAAGCATGCATGCAAGTTGTTTTAGCAAGTACCACAATGTAGGATTGCAGGGGCAGACTGGGAGACAAAAACGGCCCTGGAAAGGGGCCCTGCCCCCCCCTCCCTGAAGGGAGGGAGGAAGAAGATAGAGTGAGCCACCCACCTGATGCATAGGGAAGGCTGCTCGGTCATGGCAGCTCCCACATGCTTTGCATAGGATAGTGTCCACTGGCTTATAGCAGTGGTGCCTTGCACAGGGCCAGGGTTGCCACAGTGGGGTGGTGGGGGTCCCACAGGCCATTAGCCCACTGGGACTTTTGGCCAAGGTGCCCCGTGGGATTTTAGCACATGCCTATGAGCAGTCGTTGGGAAAATTAGCAGAGCCCCCAAAACGCAGAGGAATAAAAGCAGCACAGAGTCATGTGTGTTTGGTAACAAAGAAAAGGCTTTCCTAAAGGGCAGGGTGACATTTGGATGAAAAATCATAAACAGTGAACAGTCTAAGTAGCTTCTGCTGATCTCCATGTTGACTATAACTCTAGTGATCTCTAGAACAATGAAACAGGAAGACACCCCCCAAAACTTCCCCTGAGTACCTGACAAAAAACATGACCCCCCAAATAAAACTGATTAGCCAATAGGGAATCTCAGATCCCTTCATTAGGACTATTACCTCTTCCTTCTCTAGCGGGAAGTTCTACACCCGGTGTCTAATTGGTCAATGCTAACTACGATTTGTAAATGCAAACAACCGATTAACTCTTTCATGACTGAAGTGAGGACACTTGCAAATTCCAACAGAAGCAGTATGAAGGTAGACCTTAAGCAGGTGTCTGCAGGATGCCAGGCCATCCAAGGGTTTATACACAACCATATGAAACTGACTGCTACCAAATCAGGTCACTGATCAATGTAGCCCAGTACAGACTGGTTGGCACCAGGGTCTAAGGTATAGAGAGCTCTTTCCCGATTCTTGGGAAAGATCCCATGAATCCTTCCATGGGAGAAGCCTTCCAGACACAAAGCAGGTGAGCTACAGAATTTGCCCAGCATGGCTGCAGTAGCCAATTGCACCGACAGTGGCCAACGCAACCACCATTTTTGCAAAAATGGGCTGAAGACATGAGACCATCTCCCTGGTACCATGTAAACCATCAGGCTGGAGGCAGGCAGCAGGATTGCAGGGCCTTAACGGTGGTGGACCCGTGCAGCAGCTTGCTGAACATCCGCCAGACCCATCATTGGAAGGTGAAAGTTGTAGCTAACCTTCAGCCCTCCAAACACCTGAAGCGGCTTTTTACCACTAGCCTACCTCGCTCAATACAGTCATATCATTAATGTCAACAAGAAAAGCAATATAATGTTCCCCTGTCACAGTTTGCCTCCTTTGTTTGGCAACAGGCCTGGATTTAATTCAAAGCAGCTTGGTGGGTTGGTTGCATCACTGGATTGCTCACCAGTCACTGCTGCCCAGCACATGCGAACAGCCCCTGCTGAAATGTAACGCGTCTCGGAGAACCTTTGTGCACAACACTTTCCCCCTTTTGTCATTAGAGCTTTGTAGGAAAATGTTGTTCATGAAAGGCATATGCTGGTGGTGAATTAGCAGCTCCAAACTGGCCCCATAGCTCCTAAAAGTAGAGTGTGAAGGAGTGTCCTTTGTTGCAACCGGAGTTCACAGCAGGCTCAGGGGGGTGGATTTACCCCTATTCCCAAAATGGCCCTTTGGTAAAGAAGAAGAAGAGGAGGAGGAGGAGATTGGATTTATACCCCACCCCTTCACTTGGAGTCTCAGAGCGGCTTGCAAACTCCTTTCCCTTCCCCTCCCCACAACAGACACCCTGTGAGGTAGGTGGGGCTGAGAGAGCTCTGACAGAAACTGCTCTTTCAAGAACAGCTCTGACAGAACTATGGCTTGCAGCTGCGAGTGGAAGAGTGGGGAATCAAACCCAGTTCTCTCAGATTAGAGTCCATGCACTTAACCACTACACCAAACTGGCTCTAGTTGTGCTGTGTCCTCCAGCTAGTAGTGTCCTCCAGCATCTGGTTTTATGGTGAAACAGGTACATGTATTCTTTACAAATGCCCCTGCATGTTAGACATGAGATTCTGACATTTTCAGGTAGTAGTAGTAGTAGTAAAATTTATTGTGTAGCCATTGGCCCTTACAATTTAAAATTTAAATTTAAACAATATACAAATTAGACAACTTACATCACTGGAATTTGATTTAGATTTAAAATATAAAAACCTCTAAACTCTGCACATTCAATATTTAAATTAATTAAAATCTTAAATATAGATACCCATCCCCAGAAACACATACACAGCCTCAAACAAAAGAGCCAGTTTGGTGTAGTGGTTAAGTGTGTGGACTCTAATCTGGAAGAACCGGGTTTGATTCCCCACTCCTCCACTTGCATCTGCTGATGTGACCTTGGGTCAGCCACAAGCTCTGGCACAGCTGTCCTTGAAAAAGAGCAGTTTGTGTCAGAGTTCTCTCAGCCCCACCCACCTCACAGGGTGTCTGTGGTGGGGAGGAGAAGGGAAAGGAGTTTGTAAACCGCTCTGAGACTCCAAGTGAAGGGCGGGGTATAAAGCCAATTGCTGCTTCTTCTTCTTCTTCTTCAAACATTGCTGTTTTACATTGCCATTTTACAGTTCAATTTCATTTCATTTTCCTATGTTCTTGGCCCTGATTTTACTAGCTGCTAAGGCGAAGAGTGCTACCCTATAGGAAACTGTAGGGTCTGCGTCTGACAGCAGAAACATTAATTTATCGGTGTCAGAAATTTTTTGCAATTGATCTATTATTGCAGTCAAGAATTTACATCTTGGTTCCCAGTACAATGGCCATTCCCAGGTAAGTGAAGCCTCATTTGAGAAGCAGCTCTTAGAGAACTCCACTTGGCCGGCCTGCCTTTCCTTCCTTCCAAGTTCCTGCGCCAAACTCTATTCGCTTCTCTTTCTTGGCTGAGCTCTCCCCTTGGCAAGCCCAGACCGAATTGCAGAAACCTCTTCCAAAGAGTTTCACTTCCACATTCCGGTTCTCCAGACTTGGCAGATTTGGGGGCATGACATCGCTTCTCACACATGAAACGTTAGTTTTATTTCCAAGAAATCTCCGCCTCTCCCCATTCCCTCTATAAATACGGGCAAGATCCTCGTGTTCAGCGTGGAGCAAAGCTGACTCTCAAAAACGACACCTCCTGCTTCTGTGCTCGCATCTGGCTCTTCCGCACTCTCGCTGCAAATGGCAAGGATGAACTTCTCCGTGGCTGCCTTAGCACTTTTCCTGGTCGCCGGTCTCTTATTGCAATCTCAGGCTCAGCCCAATGGTAAGTTGTCCTTTTCTTTTCTCTCTCTTCCATGTTCAAGGGTGGAATGGAGGCTCCGTTCCGATGAGCCAGGACTGCAGCTTAGCAAGCCTTTCATAGCCATTGGCACCACCAAGAGCCATGGTTTTCCGGTAGGGCTCAGTGTGACCACTTCAGGCTGCACTGGATGGTGAGGATGAGGCATGCGGCACATCATATGCCCTGCTCATGCCGATAGGGGCAGAACATGACCCAGCCCTCCTCCTTCCCGAGGAGTCTCTGTTGACCGACCAGAAATGTTAGGTCTCTGCAAAGAGTACTCTCAGTTATCTTTTTTCAGATTTCAGTGAACAGAAGGGAAAGGGAAGCAGAGGGGAGGGAATGTACCTTTGTACAAAAAGGTACCCGTCTGAACAGGAGAGGAAGAAGCGACATCCTGCAGCATAACTCTTTGGAAGAGTACACATGAAGCTACCTTTCTCTTGAGTCGGACCACTGGGCTAGCATAGTTTCCCTTGACTGGCAGCAGCTCTCTGGGGTCTCAGGTGGAGGTCCTTTCACATCACCTACTACTTGATCCTTCTTCAGGTGATGATGCCGGGGAGTAACCTGGGACCTTCTGCATGCAAAGCGGATGCTCTGCCAGTGAGCCACAGCGTCAGCCTCTAAAACAGAAACCCATTTCCATTTGCTCTGGAGAGGTTGTGGCTCTGCAGCAGAGCACCTGCTTTGCGAGCAGAAATTCGGTCTCTGGCATCTCCACTTTAAAGTGTCTCAGGTGGTGCTGGGAAGCAAAAAAACTCTCCCTACCTGAGAGCTACCTAATTGAGCTGCGGTGGCTCAAGTGGTTAAGACGCTGAACTGCAGGCTGTGGAAGGTCGGTAGTTCAGCAGTTCGAGACCCGAGTTGCCGCATGACCGAGTGAGCTCCCGTCTCTAGTTCCAGCTCCTGCCAACCTAGCAGTTTGAAAGCAAGAAATTGCAAGTAGATAAATAGGTACCACTTTGGTGGGAAGGTAACAGCGTTCCGTGCGCCTTGGTGTTTAGTCATGCCGGCCACATGACCACGGAAATGTCTTCAGACAGTGCTGGCTCTTCGGCTTTGAAATGGAGATGAGCACCACAACCCTAGAGTCGGATTCGACTGGCTTTCGAGCAGGGGAACCTTTACCTTTACCTGGAATCTACCTTATAACTCTCTGCTGGTCAGAGGAGACAATCCTGAGCTAGCTGACTCAGAGGGGGGTTTCCTAGAGTTTCTTGTGTTCACGTGAGCATTTCTACAGAACTATCGGTGGTGCTTGTTTCACACAACCTACTTGCATGGCCTGGCCCCTCAGCTGCTGTGGCAAAGCATGGAGTCGTAGTTAAGAACGTTGGACTGGGGTCTACGAGGCACAGGTTCAAATGAGTCTGCTATGAAAGCTGTGTGATCTTGGGCCAACTGCACTCTTTCAGCCTAAACCCACCTCTACAGTGTGGTTGGCGCAAGCATAAATCGGATAAGAAAAACAGTGTATAAATATCTAAACAAACAAGTGAAGAGGATGGCAGAGATGTCTAAGCTACTAAAACACAACAGTCCCTCGTTCAACTTTTTAAAGTTTCCACATCTGAAGTAAAACTTCAGTATTGAGCACCCTTTTTTAAAAAAAAAAAAATGGCACACAGGAGTGGGAGACTGGATGTTGGGGGTGGCTCTGGAATACATTGCCTAAAAGCAGCTGCTTCATGGGTTTAAGTTACGGGCAGCAAGGTACTGGCTGGATATTAGGACTTTTTCGTTGGCAGTCAGATCAGATCAGCAGTGGAATCAGCTGCCTAGGGAGGTGCTGAGCTCCCCCTCACTGGCAGTCTTCAAGCAGCAGCTGGATGAACACTTGTCAGGGATCCTTTAGGCTGATTCTGCATGGAGCCGGGAGCTGGATTAGATGGCCTGTCTGGCCCCTTCCAACTCTATGATTCTGTGATGCTCTGTGGTAAGGCTGGCCCTTGGAGAATCCACAGAAGCCAGGTAGTAGAGAAATGAGATTCTGCCATGGGACCAGAGAGACTTCTAAATCCTTTTCTGGGCCCAACAACTCAAGGAGCAGCAGGTTTGCCAAGGAGGAATAACTGATTTTTAAAAACCTTCTGTTTCCTTCTCTCTTTCAGCACAACACTCTCCACACTGCCCTACGTTCACAGGAAAGCCCGTTCCGCTGAGGCTGCTGAAGTCTTATGAAGTCCTCAGCAGGCACAACCCCCCAGCTGTTTTGTAAGTATTTAAAAAGTTTTTTAAAAAAATCATTCCGCTTGGCCAACATGTTATAAAATGACAAGCATTGTTATTTTAAATAAACTGTCTGGCTTGGGTCAGCCCCTTAGTTACTACTTTGTACTTGGCCCGTTGCAACCTGCACAGAAAAGGAGTCTTGAGGTACATCAGGAAGAATGAATTGTAGTAGACGTTTTTGTGAACCAGCACCTATTTCTGCAGAAGCAGAGTATTGCTGTTGGTTGGCTGAGGATGCCACTTGATGCACCTGAGGATGTGGATGTCAGCCTGTGAAAGATGCTGTTGTAATAGTCTTGGCAGGGGCACCAAGAATCTCTTTTGTTTTAACCTGCAAGGTTCTTCCTGGCTTAGTCCGTTTAATTTTCCGGGTAGTGGCAGCGGATTTTAGTGTAAATCCATACCTTTTCAGGCCAAAACACGTACATACATACACCCCAATTTTATTATTTCCAGGAAGTCCCAGGTTCGAATCTTAATTCCATCATCAAATCACTAGGCTAGTTGCTACTGTCTCTCAGCCACACAGAGTGATTTTATACATTTCTATCCTGCCTTATGTCCTTGGACTCCATGCTACGGCACAGTGGAGCAAACCAAGTTGCAAAGACATTAATGAACCTGATTAAAACAGATTAATACTCAATTTAAAAACATTCAGACATAACACACTTTAAGAGCTGAACCAATCGGTGGACTCACAGCCAGATGGTTTGGAAAAGTCCACCCTCCATTAAATGCTTTCTGGAAGAGGACTTCCTTGCATGCCTTCCTCAATGCAACAAGGGGGATTACTAAGACTGGCCCTACCTTCCAGGGTAGTCGTCAGACGTTCTGAAGTAATGCCTTCAGTGCACCAAGGAAGAGAACTGCAGCCATGTTAAGCTTTTGTGTATCTGTTAACCATACTGATTTAAGACTCCTAGAAGCCAAGCTTCAGTGTTGGAAAACTGCCTTGTACCCATTACTGGTTATGTCATCTGGCAGATCCTCTGCAGATCTTTGCCTGAGAAAGTTCCTTTCCCTATCCCTTACCTGAAGTCTATTAATTGGGGGTGCCAGGGAGCGAACCAAGCCTTTGCATGCAGAACAGGTGCTTTATTCTTGAGCCGCTGCCCCTTCCCCTACTGATAAGATGCAGGAATGTGGAATTGAGGCTGTGCAGCTATAATTTGGTTCTTAAAAGCTCAGGATGAAGAGGTGGATTCCCTTGCGCCGATGCACAGGAACCATCTCTGGGACAGCCAGGATGCAAGGAAAAGCTTTCCCCCAGCTTTCTGTCTCAGCACTAATAAGCTTCTTCCCTCCCCTTTGCAGGTTTTACACTAAAAAAAACAGGCAGATTTGTGCTGATCCCAAACAGCAGTGGACCCAGGACCGCATGGACAAGCTCTCAGAAAATGGACATCAGGAAAACCCCTGAAATACGCGTCAAGGGGATGGGGGAAGGCCACATTGGACATCTATCCCAATACCTGCACTTTCATGACTCTAAGATGTTTACTTGTAAAGTTCAACTAATATTGTATTTAAATTATAGCTGATTGTGTATTTTTTAAAAATACGTATTTTTTATAAAAGGGGGAAAGTTTTCGTGATGTGATGCCACAAAGGTTTGACTTGTGAATAAACCTCAGGGAAAGTTCATTCTTGAGTGCTTCAGCCTCTTTCAATCCAAGATCCCCAGTGGCGGGATTTATCTGATAGAAAGTGTTTTTGTGAGGGGTGGGTGGGTGAGTGAAGATGGACATCATATTTAACGAGAAGGCTCAAGGGGTTCTTTACATATGGCCCGCCCGGTTTCAGTTTGCGAGAGAGATCCATCAAGTCTTCTCAAATATGCGGTATAAGAGGGTTCCCTTAATCAATCAATCGGGAGCTATTAGGCACTGAGTAGTAGAAGAGAGGGTTTTTATATCCTGCTTTTCTCTACCCTAAGGAGTCTCAACATGGCTTACAGTAGTCTTTCCCTTCCTCTTCCCACAATGGACACCTTGTGAGGTAGGTGGGGCTGAGAGAGTTCTGAGAGAATAGTGACTGGCCCAAGGTCACCCAGCAGGCTTCATGTGGAGGAGGAGTGGGGTATCGAACCCGGTTCTCTGGATTTCAGCCCCCTTCTCTTAACCACTACACCACGCTGGTTCTCACGGGGGAGGTAACATGTGCGAATGAGACCCAGGTAGGCCCAGGCTCAGAGGAAACAGACCAACAAACCCGCCCTTCCGGCACAGAACCTTTTTCCATTGCAGAACAAGTGAAACCAATCTGCGCAAGTTACTGTTGTAAAATTCAAAGTTTGCAAAAGAAATAATGATTCTTCATGTGTGGTTCATCTCCCACTTGAAGGGTCAGTGATTCTGCCTAGAAGGGGAGGGGGGGGGTGGCTTTATATGTGGCTGGAGAGATTCAGGCCAGATAGTTATATAGCTCTTCTAGGTTTGCTTCAGGAGGGTGGTAGACTGTGTTGGTACCAATCATTCATCCAGAAGGAGATCCTTGCCCCCCAAATCAGGAAGAACACTGTCCTGAGTCAACACCTGCCAACCTTACCTATCTTGAAGTACCTCAGAAAAAGGATACATTTTATCTTGGGAGACAACAATAATTTGAGCTGCATTATAGGTGGCAGCATGGGACACTGTATGGTATAACAGGGAGCATGTTAAGACTATGACTAGGGAGACCCGGGCATAAATCTCCCTGAATTTCACTGGACAGCCTTGGACAGGCACTTGTCTTCCGATTTAACCTTACACCTCATAGGACAGCCGTGAGGATTATAAAAGGGGAAGGAAACAATTTAAGCTGCCCTTGAGCTCCTTTTGAAGAAGAGGGGGATAAAAATGGGATAGGTGGATCTTGGGCTCAATTCAGACCCCCAAGCAAGTTTTGGGGGGACTCCCTTTTCCTTTGTTAAGCTGGTCAGGTGCTTTATGATCAAGGGCAGCAATTCAAGTTGTGGCCGTTCCTCTTGAAGTCAGGGGCCTCTTGGCCTGTTTGGTGACATGGAATGTTCTAGAAATCAGAAAGAGGAGACCCACGCATTCCACCTTCAGCTCCTCAGATGAAGGGAAAAAAAATGTGATAGACAGCAAGACAGACCAGGCCCTATCCTTCAGGAAGAGGAGAGGGTGCCCAAGGTGAGCCGGCAAAGGTGGCTCAAGAGGTCTGAGAAATGGAGGGAAAAAATTCCCTCAGAAAGGGGAAACATATATTTAGTCACACACATTTTAAGGGTGGGAGGAAGCTGCATCTTAATAGTAAAAAAGGCCCAAAACAGCCTGATTGGGAAGGTACAGTGCTTTATTTCATAAATGTGTAAATTGTCAAAGCATTTCAGCAAAGGGATCCCCCAAGAGGAAGCCCCCCACATCAAGAAAATAACTTAAAAGATATACATTGAAAGGCAAGGAAGGTGAGTAATAATATTATTAGATTTTTAAAAACCAGCTCAACATCAAAATTTATACCAGTTGTGTAAAAATCTCAGACCCTCCCTTCCCAAACCCTTTTTAAGCCTCTGTTAAAGAAATTAATTGCTGTACATCATTTTGAATAGTCAGTCAGTCCTAAAATGGTTAATACATTCTGGCGCTCCCTCTCCGTCGCTGGAGAAGTACACCCGAAACTCAAAGGCCACATTCACACATTTGGGGGTCTCCCAGCAGGGAAATCACCACACAAGCAACAACAAGACTTTGACACAAACCTTCCCTGGCATTCTGATTATTGAAAATGTGTGCCTGATTGGGTGCTTGGCGCTTCATAAATCAGTAGTGGTGGGTCAGAAGACCAACTTAGTAGAAGCTGGCTGTGTACGCACATTATTTTCTTAAAAGTTTACCTGTCCCTTTTCTTTTAACGGCAGTCTGACATCCAGACATATAGAAGGATGCTCTGAGATACTCCTTCCCTTTGCTCCAGTCAAGCGTTCTCAGCTCTCATCCCACCAAACTTTCTGGATGAGTACACTATAAACTGGAAGTGTTTCGAAACCATTTCAGCAACTGCATCCTCCCACAAGAAATATTTGTTTTCCAAGTCCGCTGAATCACAGTTCTCGGGTGGCTCTTTTGGGGAATCACAAGAGCTTGGAAACCAGTTTGAGTTTGTGGACGGATATGCCAAAAAGTTGGGGGGGGGGAACACCTCGGAGCTTTTCTTCCCCCATGTAACAATTACGTAGAAGAATTTGAGAGTAGAACACGGTGGGAGAGAGGCTGCCTATGATGCAGACAGTTTCCTTTTGTCTCTCTGCCCACCTCTGGTCATGCAAGTTAAAAAGAAAACACTGCCATTTTCTAGAGGTCCAGTGTTCATACCCACATGCAGAAACCCTGCTTTCAAACCACATTCAGCTCCCTTTAAAATGTAGAGATTTCTACTTTCAGTCACTATCTGACCTGGAGTTCTTGCTGCTTCCCCCTTGAACTGGAGACCATGGTGTGGATGCTCCATGGGTCCATGCAACCCCCCACCCCGTGCTCATAAACAACCCAGGTGATATGAATGCAGCCTCTTGGCTTACTTGGGACCCAAGAGCTGATTTTTTTCCCCACCAGTATTGGAAAGTCTTGAGTGTGAAAATTCATTAACACAGTGGCTGACACCCAGCTGGTTGGACAGTCCCCCTTCTACATACATGTATTCAAGAAACTGTCCAATACAGAGTCAGACCCTAGTCTATCAAGGTCAGCAGTGACTAGCCTAACTGGCAACAGCTATCCAGGGTCTCAGGTGGAGAGTTTTCCCCATCACCAGTCACCATACCCTTTTGCCTGGAGATGCTGCAGAATGAACCTGGGACCTTCTGCATGCAAAACAGATGCTCTACCACTAAGCCACAGCCCCATCCCTGGAAGGAGGAGCAAGCCGGGCAAGAAGTGTTTGCTGCATCACGAGCCCCTACAGAGCTGTCTTTCTTTTGCTGCATTTTGGAAAGACCTGCTGCGTAACAAGCATGCCGAGGAGAGCAACAGGATGGCAAGGGGAAGTCACTCAGCGGTGGAGAAGATTCCACCATGGCTGTAGCCTTGCCTTGTTCCTCACTGTTGTACGCCTCCTGATGTCTTCCTGTTCTCTTTCTGTCTGCTTGCTGCCCATGGTCCTGGTCTTGGTACCGGTGAGGTCATAACTCTGGCTTCCCTTCTTCCTGTCAAGATTAGCACCATAACTTCCTGCCACATGCTTGCAGCTTAGTGGGAACTTAGTTCACCATGTTAGCCTGAATGTAAAATGTTAATCTAATATACCAAGTCCATTGGTCCAATTAGCCCAACTATTTTCTGCTCTAATGGGCGGCAGTCTTTCCTAGCACACGCCCTAAAGTTCTGTGGAATGCTGAAGGATTCAGCAGCGGACACGGATGCAGAAAGCATTCCCTGGCAAGAAACATGCTATGACACACTGCTGGGCTTCAGGTATTAATACCATCGAATGCTAAATTAGAGGCACAGAATCTGAACCGTCTGAAATCAGCTCCTGAGACAAGAATTCTGAGGACACATTTTGTTTCAGCTCTGTTTATAATGCTGGGGTTGGAGTGTGCGAGAAAAGACGTTCAGGAGGTTGCTTCGAAGCACACTCTTCCCCTCCTTTGAGAACCCAGAAGAGAATCATGACCCAAGCTGCTTCTGAAGGTATTCTCCTCTATTTGGCCTATTGGTAAATACTCCTCCGTTTGGTGGCCAGCTGATCGGCAAAGATTGCCTGGAGTGGTCTGTCCAGCCCACGAGAGATGCCAACTCAGACGCAGGAAAGATCCTTCAAGATGTCACTTTGGGGGGTGCGTGCGAAAGGAGGAAGCCCTCCCTGAGAACCAAGGAAGATGCAAGCAGTACTACTGTGTGGAACAGGTTCAAAAGGAAAAGAAACTGAAGATGAGCTTGGAAGAGCTCTTCACTGGGGAAAACATTCTACACCAAGAGGTTCTCAGCCTCCACTGCAATTCGCACAACACGAAACGCAGTGCTGGCAAAAGGAAACCGAGGCAGAGGCGCTGCCTGATTTTTGCAAACGTCACATCCTGCTCATCCAGGTCAGGAGTAAAGCACCAAATAGGGAGAGAAAATGTAAAGTACATGAACCGCATCTGTGGCTCAAGTTCTCTTGGGTGTGAAAACAGGGACTGGATCATGAGATGAGGAGGGGAGCTGATTTGTGAATGCCAGCGAGAGGAATGCTAATCCCTCTGGCCTTTGAGCACCCAATAGAACACAGAGACTGACTTGATAAAACCCACCACAGAATACTTTGGTCAAGCCCAGCTGGGCAACCCCAGAGTACAAGCAGGGGCCGCCCCTTTGGATGACCTCGCAGCACTTCTTAAAAGCGAACGCCCCGGTACGGACGGACACTGCTACTTGTGCCTGGAACAGCGCCTGCTTCTCCGAACAACGCTACCACAGGACAACAAAAAGTAGAACAAAACAGCTAGTATAAAAAAAGGGAACACCCATTATAAAGTTGGCAGCAGAAGCTTCACCAAAACACCGAAGGTATTAAACACACGAACACGCACACAGCCCCATACACAAAACACATCACGCACTTGTGGAAGTGCCTTTACACAAGAACACACGTTAAGCAGCCCACTGTTATTATTCACAGCTGTTTAAAAGAACTCAAGT